AGCCCCCAGAAATAATGGTGCAAATTACCGAAGTAATTATCCTGGCCGCTGTGCAAATCCTGCCCAGTTAATGTCAACAGCGAGGGTGGGGCAGTGCGCGGGTCCTGCCTTAACTAAAATTCCCCCAGCCAGTCGGAGGAGACGGCTGCAGAGAAGCTCTAGTTACCGCTTGTATTCCCAGAAAATAAATCTCTCCCGCTGTCGGGAATATCCCTCCATCCCCTGTGATGTGAGGCAGCTCCCCGCGCAGGACCACGGAGGGTGGAGGTGGCATCATGGGGCGAGAGCAGGGATGGAAAAGCAATCGGGTCCTCCACAGCCCCTTAGGTTGTGTGGTCCCTGTCCTTGTCTGAAAAGTCCCATCATGGGGACAGAGCCGCACGTGGAGGGGATGTGGCTGGAGGCATCTCAAGGGGTGGCACAACAGGGATGTCCTGGGGTGGGACTGGGGAAAAGGGGCCCTGATAGCTGTTGCTGATGATGGGGGGGGGGATGGAGGAGAAGGGGTGGGGGGAGACTGGGGCATGGCTGGGGCGTTTTACCTCAGCAGAGGAAAAAAATTCCAATTTTTCACCCTCTGCTCCCTGCTCTCTCGCTGTTGCATGAAGGGGTTGGATGCTTTATGAGGTTTGGGGGTTTTTTTTTGAGTGTATCATTTTTTAAGGGATTTTTAAGGCAGGATCGGGGGGAGCCGAGCATCCCTCTGGGAGGTGGGGGCATCGGGGTGCAGGGGTGCACATTCCCAGCTCTGCCTCCTCCTCACAGGTGGTTTGTGCAGCCTCACAACACTGCATTAAAATGCAAATTTGTCCCTGCCTGCTGGAAGCAGATAGTAAAACGCTAAACAGGAAAGAGGCAGCGGAGAATAAACAGAGGGCAGCGTGAGAGGGGAGCTGGAATAGAGGCTTCTTTTTAATTATTTTTCCTCCTTCTTTTTCCTTCAGTGAGATTTGGCTGTTTGGTGGGGGTTTATTTAATGGGATCTGAAGCACTAAGGGAGGAAGGTGCCGGTTTCGGACTAGCTGGGTGCCGGGGTGCAGGTGGCCAGTGGCCTGTCCTGGTGGGTGCCACCAGCCCGCAGTGCGGTGGTGGTCCGCAGCCTAAATCGCACCATCTCCAACTGCTTTATTGGGTCTTTTGTTTTTTTTAATTCCATGTCCCAGCTGGTCATTCCTGATGGGGAAAAAATAAAATCGCAGTAGTAGGAGTGAAGAGGACCAGCTGGGGCAAGGACCAGGCACCGTCAGACTCCACCAGAGCCTTTACAGTGTTCCCATTTTCCTGGGGTTTGTCCCCAGTGTTTTGCCTGCTGCCTCCTGATGCATTTGCTGACAGGCTTCAAGGGGATCAGAAGCCCAAATAAATTGTTGGTGAGCTGCTTTCCTCCTGCGTCTGATGTGCAGGGGGAGC